TAAGTGTTGAAAATGTGTAGTTTGACAGAATTTTTTTCTCCACCAAAATGTTTACATTTTTTGCAGCAGATATTATTTGAAATTCTACTTGGCACGTCCTCCAAAGAACTTAAAAGCAGGGTTATTAGAGTTAACCTAAAGCCAAAAATAATTTTCTTCGCTTAAAATAAATGTTAACTTAAATAAAACATTAAAAAGCATATTTCAGTTATGTTCAATATTTCCAAGGCAACATTTCTCATATTAATTTAGTGAAAGAACTGCAGATTTTTGTGTAAAGATTGATGTTTTGTTATGATGGAAATGAGTTTGAGGGTCAGAAACATAATGCAGAACGACTTTATTACATTGTGAAAGAATGGTAACACTTTATATCCTTTATAATGCTTTGTAAAAGTTGTAATGCATTAATTATGTCTTGTAATGCACATTATAATGCATTGCACAATTGCATGATTAATTGTATCCACAGTTAATACATTATAACACTTATCAATTCATTGTTACACTATGAATTTTTGGTTAATTTGGTTATAATCATTTATGACAAGATATATTGTATTACAATGCACATTATGAATAATTACAATGCATTATAACCTTTAATAACCCTTTATAATGCATTATGCATAAAGGCTTTAAGTAAAGTGTTACCAAATGATTTTCAGAGTTGTAAATAAAATAAAGATTACTGGGATATGTTTTACAAGAAAATCAGGAACACTATATAGGAATAAATAAGGAACACTTCAAAATTCCACATATTCATATAAATACACACACATGCATGTATGTTGTATATTTTGAAAATATGTACATGTATATATCTATATTCATATAATTTATATTATTTAAATACATTTTATATATAAACATAACATATTTCTTAAATATATACATGCATGTGTGTGTGTATTTATATATACATAATAAATATACACAGTACACACACATATATATATTCTGTAAACAAAAACTTTTCTTTTGGATGCGATTAATCGTTTGACAGCACTACTTTTTTTCTTATTGCAGCTCACTGAAACGTTCTGCTGAACACTAAACTGTCACTTCACTATAAATCAAACGTTCACTCACTTGAACACACTTTCAATTGTTGTATGAATTTTCACTAAAATTAACATTATTTGAACATTTATTTTCTTGTATTCTAAGAACGCTAAAATGTCCGGTTTTCTTGTCGTGATTATGATGTTATTTAAAGGTTACGAAAATGTTTCGTACAATGTTGTACTAACATTTTTTGAACATTTATTTTTAATATTCTAATAATGTCCAATTTTCTTTTTGAGATTATAACATTGTTTAAAGGTTAGACAAACATTTCTAGAACATTTATCAAGTACAAATAACATCATAAGGAGGTTTTAAGAATGTCGATCTCAGAACGTTTTCTCAACATTATGAAAATATATATCAAGTTATAAGAGCGTTCCATAAACATTACGTTAAGAACGTTTTGTCCTAACATTTATATAACTATAAACCATCCATTAAGACCATCAAACATCTTTAGGCTGGTTGTTTTCAGCATGAATGTATTTTTTGGCAACACTTTATTTTGATAGTCCACTTTATACATTCTACTAACTATAAGTAACTTGTCAACTCCATGTCAACCAGCAGTCAAGTCAAGTCACCTTTATTTATATAGCACTTTTAACAATATATATTGTGTCAAAGCAACTGTACAGCATTAATTAGGAAAATATTGTGTCAATAATGCAGAAGGACAATAGTAAACACTCAATTTTCAGTTAAAGGCAGTTCATCATTGAATTCAGTGATGTGATCATCGAGCTCAGTTCAGTTTAAATAGTATCTGTGCAATCAAGTTGACGATATCGCTGGATATTAAGTGTCCCCAACTAAGCAAGCCAGAGGAACCAAAACTCCATCAACCAGGCTCAGTCGGGGGCCAGTTCTCCTCTGGTCAGATGAAACCAGCAGTTCAGTTCCAGGCTGCAGCAAAGTCAGATTGTGCAGAGGACTCATCTGGTTCATGTGGTCTTGTCCCGGTGGCCGTCTGAGACAAGGTCTTCACTGGATCTGTCTCTGGGGCTCATCTAGTTGTCCTGGTCTCCGCTGACATTCAGGGCTCTAGAGGTCATCTCTAGGTGCTGATCCACCATCTGTGGCTGGATATGTACTGGATCCGGGTGACTGCAGTGACCATCTGATCTGGATATAGTCTGGATCTGGTGACCTCGGAATAAGAAAGAAACAGACTAATATTAGCGTAGATGCCATTCTTCTAGCGATGTAGTAAGTACACTGGGTGTTATGGGAAGTGTTCCCGGTTCCAGTTGTCCTAATTAATGCAGCCTAAAAATCCTTTAACAGATTTGAATATTAGAACTGTGTTCGTGTGTTATGTGTAAGCCAGGTTAAAGAGATGGGTCTTTAATCTAGTTCCCTTTCAAGGGAACTTCGAACTGCGTCCTCCAGGGGGTGCTATGGGGAACACCTTTCAGCCTGACCGGTGTCTGAAGCATATTTCTAAAAACAACAATTACATTGGCCGGTGACAGCCTATGACGGCATTACCCTGCGTGATCACAGTATAAAAGAGCACCGGGATAACACGTCATGCTCTTCTTCGTCTTCACTGACCATTTGTTTATGTTAGCATTAAGCTAAACACGACTAGGAGTGCATGTTCTCTGGCCAGACGTTTTGCTCTGATACCTGCAGTTTCACACGTCTCATGAGCTGTGTGTGTGGTCAAGAGCAAGCGCGTTCAGCTCTCGAGGGAGTTGGATGCGCTCTGTATTCATTGCTTATTTCTTGTGAGGGATAAGCATGAATTGAATGTGCTCGTCTCACGAGGAGGCGGCTTGTGCTCATCGTGATGCATTCGCAGGACTGCTGAGGGGGATGTGAGTACTTCACCATTTGCCCGAGATTGTAGGTAACGTTTGCATGAGTGCGTTCGACTGTCGCGGGAATAGTGACGCATTCGCAGCAGCAGTTCTCGTTCTCGATTGATTTCCAAGGTAATCTGCGGTTGGGCGGAGCGTGTTTAGCTCCCGTGGGAGCTGAATGCATGCTGCGCATTGCGGTCGCGGTGAGAACATGGAAAGGACCTGATGGGATATTTTTCCCTATCAGTAATTTCCTTTTGTTTATATAAGAAGTGTATAGTGTGGATCTGTCTGCAGTTGTTGGACAGATGATTTATATCATGTCCTTCTGAAAAAACAAAAAGAACAAAGCAGATAACCACATTATACTGCACTCCGGCTTGAAGTAAAATAATAATAACAAAAAGAGCCTTCCATTCCATGTATGCCTACATCGAGGGGATGCGTGAGAATGGTTATGAGAGATGCCCTCTGTTGAAGAGATGCTGGCCTGCTATCTCTCTATGGGGGAGACATCTTCTCTTAAGGCTCCCTCCCAGCCATCCAAGCCCCTTCAGGATGCATCTTGTTTGAAAGGCAGGGCATACGTGAGTACTATCCATTTTTTTGCTAGTTCTTGTGTATTCTATGCTAGCTTTTCTCTAAAGGCAGCGCTACTCGAACCTGTTCTGTTTTTCTGAGTTTCAACCGATTACAGTGATGGTTTCACTCATCGGTTCTGGTTCCAGGCTGGTGATAGCCCTCCTCTTCAGCTTGGACACGCAGCCTGGGCTTCTGAGGAAGCCTCCCAGCATCAGGTCCCCAGTATAAGGCTGCAACCTCAGGATTTGCGGGTCCTTCTCGTAGGGGCTAGTACTCTTCTAGTACATGCTTCGACGATATTCTCCATCCAGTTAGACTTGGAATCAAGTGGTTGGCCCTCTGTGGGGCTGCCTTGATAAACAGTCTTTGTTGAGTAGGTTTGGCCTCAAGTGTACAGCCCTTTTTGAGGCTGCTGTGATAAACTGTCATATGGTTGAGTTGGTTTAGCCTCCACTTCTTAGAGAGTCATTCTGCTGAGGCCTCTGCTCACCAGAGCTCCAGTTAGACAGTGTAATCAAGTGTTCGGCCTTCAGTAGGCTGCCTTGATAGTTAGTCTCGCTTATAGCATTCGGGTCTGGTTATACTGGACCGACGCTCTCTATCGGGATAGAGAGCATGAGACCGTGTCCAGCTGCACCTCAGAGGGTTGTCTTTGAGCCTGCCGCTCCCGATTGAGTGTCTGAGGACTTCTGGGCATCTGTGAGCAGATGCTTCGGAATCTAAATCCATGCAATGGTAAGTGCACACGCTAAACTTCTGTGCTCTTTCTAAAATCCACAGTGTGGTAAGTGTGGTAAAACCTTGTATGGTAAGGGTTACGCGCTGTCAGCCTCATTCCCTTTATCTGTGTTGGCTTAGGCCCCGGTTCTCGCCTTGGGCTCCACTCAACTAATATATCTCTGTTGATACATTTCTGAGCAGGGTGTTGCTACCTAAGATTGGTTGAGTCAGTTCCTTGAGCAGGTTTATTCAGAACCGGTGGTACCCCCCCTGGGTGACAGGCCAGGGTCCGGCGTGGTGTTTTAGACACCTGGCCGTATCCCCTTAAAGGAATCTCTTTCTTCTGATTCCAAGCCTTGAGCTCTGCCCTAGGCTTGGGCCTCCTACCCCAGCCCTTAACAGTAGGTTCATTTAGGGTATGCAGCTCAGGCCCTTGGCCGAAGGGGATAATGTCACTGACAGCCGTCAAGATGTCCTTTAGGACAACTCCCTTGGCTATGGTAGAGTTGGTACTTAGTGCTCGCCGTGGTTTTCTGGCATGCACTCCCCTCAGCATGGTGGCGTGGGTATACCGTTCCCCATAGCACCCCCTAGAAGACACCGTTCGAAGAACGAGACACTGCGTCCTCTAGTTTCCTTGCCATGCTGCGGACGCAAGCTTCAGACGAAGAAGTGGATGACGTGTTATCCCGGCGCCCTTTTAAACTATGATCGTGCAGGGTAATGCCGTCATAGGCTGTTGCCGGCCAATGTTATTGTCGTTTTTAGAAATATGCTTCAGACAATTGACACGCTGAAAGGCGTTCCCCATAGCACCCCCTAGAGGACGCAGTGTCTCGTTCCCTTCTCAGGGAACCATGGTTACATATGTAACCTGAGACGATTTACACTGACAGCGTGTGTCTGCTTTCTGAACAATGTTAGGCAGGTTATTCCAGAGTTTGGGCGCTAAATAGGAGAAGGATCTTAACCTTGAGGTCATAAACGCATGGATTAACATTTCTGCATTTGACATTGAGAGCATAGGTCGTAATTTAGATATATTTTTGAGATGGAAAAATGCAGTTTTACAAATGCTAGAAACGTGGTTTTCAAAGGAAAGATTGCTATCAAATAGCACACCTAGGTTCCTAACTGATGACGAAGAATTGACAGAGCAGCCATCAAGTGTTAGAGTGTTCTAGGTTATTACATGCAGAGTTTTTAGGCCCTATAATTAACACCTTTGTTTTTTCAGAATTTAGCAGTAAGAAATTACTCGTCATTCAGTTTTTTATATTGACTATGCATTCTGCTAGTTTTTCCAATTGGTATGTTTCAGCGGGCCGCAAAGAAATATAGAGCTGAGTATCATCAGCATAACAGTGAATGCTAACACCGTGTTTCCTGATGATATCTCCCAAGGGTAACATGTAAAGCGTGAAAAGTAAGGGCCCTTGTACTGAGCCATGAGGTACTCCATATTGCACTTGTGATCGATATGATACCTCTTCATTCACTGCTACGAATTGATGGTGGTCAGATAAGTAGTCATTAGAGTATTAGTGACCGTCTGCTTACAGTTTTTTTCAACTGCTTACACACATTTTCAAAACTCTTTTTTTTTGCCTTTTTTTTCAAAACTTACACACAAATCCAAGAATTGCATACACAAAATGCAAAATGCCTCACGTCTCTTGCAGAATGAAGCACAGCATTCAAAATATCACAAACACATCTCAAAAGCAAACATTTGTCTTGCGTTGCAAACACCTTTGCCATAATATTATATTTTTGAAAACATCATATGCACACAGTTATTCAAAACCTAAAGTTCTTCTTTCATGAGCTCCTGTATACATTTCTGTACAAGATTGAAAGTAATTGGCAGAGAGATGTTGAAAAATCCATGGTAAACATGAAAGCAAACTTTTTTTACTGTAAGCATTTGTGGTTGTGAATACAGTATTACACAGTATGAAAGAAAATAAATGCATCAAGCATGTGTAGTTGTGTAGATGTGTGTTTATAGGCCTGTTCTAAAGCATGATTGGTTGGTGTTCAGTGAAGCACGTGAGGAGTGTGAGGCGCTGATGAATTAGTGTGGCATTTTGTGATTGGTTGTGTTTGAAAAAGGAAATCAAGATGCTTTTTTGTGTTACATAGAGAATTGTGTGTTGTGTTTGGCAAAAAGTGTTTTATGTCAAAAGTTTTATGTTAAAGTCAAAAGCTGAGAATTAGTGTATGGTTTTGTAGATTTGGTGTGTGCTTCTGGTGTTTGGGTGTCAGCTTTCAGAAATTGTGTGACAAGTAAAAATTTTGTGTGTAAGCAGTTGAAAAAAACTAATATCTGCTCACAGTGTATTTTGATGGACATTCTACTGACTCACTTTGCAGCTACATGTCAACTTAATCTACTAACCCTAACCTAACAGTCTACTACTAGTCTAATAAGAGTTAGTTGATGTAGTAGTTAGTAGAATGTCTAAAGTGGACTATCAAAATAAACTGTAACCTGTATTTCCTGAAACTCTGAAATTAATGAAACTTTTCTCTAATTTGCTCTAACAATGACTTTGAGTGTTGTTCTGATGCGGGCTGTGATTGTATGAGTATCACACACTGAACTCGCTGTAGCGCTGTGAGCCAGAGACTTACACCTTCATAAAAATAACCCTGCATCTGCCTCAGAAGGTGTAAATTAATGAAAAGCGCTCATGCCATCTGTGCTGCTTCTCTTGTGTGTGTGAATCTCCTGTGAGACGCTGTGTGTGTGTGTGTGAGAGAGAGAGAGAGAGTGTGTGAGTGTGTGTGTGTGTGTGTGTGAGAGAGAGAGAGAGAGTGTGTGTGTGTGCGCGCGTGTGTTTGTGTGTGGGTGTGTGAGTGTGTGAGAGAGAGAGAGAGTGTGTGTGTGTGTGTGTGCGCGAGTATGTGTGCGAGTTTGTGAGTGTGTGTGAGTGCGGGTGTGCGAGTATGTGTGTGTGTGTGTGAAAGAGAGAGAGAGAGAGAGAGAGAGTGTGTGTGTGTGTGTGTGTGAGAGAGAGAGAGCGAGAGAGTGTGTGTGTACAAAGTGTTTTTCTGGTCTGGTCAGCTGGTTTAGCTGCTCTCCCAGAGCATAAAACATCGAAACTAGCTGGTTTTACGTTTATTTGCCCAGTTCACAAATTTAGGCTATGAAAACGTTGTGGGAACATTGTTTTAAAATGTTTCTAAAACGTTGAAACCACCTGTTTTCTTGTTGTGATTATAATGTTTTTGGGTTACAATAACATTTCTTAACCATTCTATACATTTTATTTTCACCCAAAATACAATGTTATTTAAACGTTTAATGTTCTAAGAATGTTAAAATGTCCAATGTTTTCTTGTTGTGATTAAAACATTATTTAAAGGTTACAAAAACATTTATGACATTCTACTAACTTTATTCTTTATTTAAAATATAACATTGTTTGAATATTTATTTTCAATATCCTAAAAACATGTGCAGTTTTCTTGTTGTAATTACAGTTTTTTCAAAATGCTTACATAGTTTTTGAATCTATGGCTCCATTTCAAAACCAAACACTTCTTTCAAAACTATTTTAACTCTTCTAAAAAATTTTTTTTTTGCGTAGTAACTCTACACACAAACATAAAATGATTAGCCTCATATACAGCAAATTCACACAGATGTGAAAAATGTCAAACACTTGCTGTGGTGTGTCTTCTGCGTGTTCAGAGTGCAGGAGTTTATAACTCTCACACATACTGTACATGCGTATGTACATATACACTGTATATACTGTATGCATGACTGATGAATTTTACACAGTTACGCAACTGAACTGAATCTAAACTGAACTGACTCGAGCTGGTGAATGACACTATTAACTTGTTAGAGCTGCTTTACAGAATGTGAATGTGATGCTACTGTGAAGCTGCTGTGAAACAATCTATATTGTATAAATCACTTTACAATTAAAGTAAGATAGATAGATAGATAGATAGATAGATAGATAGAGTCAGATGATAGATAGATAGATAGATAGATAGATAGATAGATAGATAGATAGATAGATAGATAGATAGATAGATAGATAGATAGATAGATAGATAGATAGATAGAGTCAGATGATTAGATAGATAGACAGACAGACAGACAGACAGACAGATAGAGTCAGATGATAGACAGACAGATAGATAGACAGATATATAGATAGATAGAGTCAGATGATAGATAGACAGACAGACAGACAGATAGAGTCAGTAGATAGACAGATAGATAGATAGATAGATAGATAGATAGATAGATAGATAGATAGATAGAGTCAGATGATAGATAGATAGATAGATAGATAGATAGAGTCAGATGATAGATAGATAGAGTCAGATGATAGATAGATAGATAGATAGATAGATATATAGATAGAGTCAGATGATAGATAGATAGATAGATGGATAGAGTCAGATGATTAGATAGATAGAGTCAGATAGATAGATAGATAGACAAATAGATAGATAGATAGATAGATGGATAGATAGAGTCAGGTGATAGATAGATAGATAGATAGATAGATAGATAGATA